TTATTCACAAACCAAATGGATCTGTCCCATCATTTTACAATGAAAACTAAAATCTCCCTAAAGATTTTTCCTGAAGTCAAAAGATAAATTTTTTTATAGAAATGTCCCCATTTTCAAGATAATTTAAAATGTGTTGGCCTCTGTCAATCTTTGTCCTAAATTTTAATGAGTGGCGGTATTTTGCCTGTTTCATTTAGTGAGTGACTGGCAACATTTTGCATAGGGATGTCAGTGGTAAAGGATTTGCTATGGAAAATTGAGAATTTTGTGAGAGGTGGTATGATTTTAACTTTCAAGTTTCTGAGCAATCACAAGTACCATAGAATACTTCTTCAGACAGCCCTTTTTTAAGTCCTGTTTCTTCATTCAAAAAAGTGATTTTTTTTAAAAACCATAGTGTTTGAAGGCAGTTTTCTGCTAGTGACAAGCATTAAGTGCAAAATGAATTACTGCTATAGAACATTTAGTAGCTGTGTAATTTTAGCACAATTTAGAAAATGGATTAAGGAAAGTCTTAATGTTGGCTAATTCTTTGAAGATGCATTAATCTCCCAAATTACCCTAAATATATCTATGAAAGCTTAACATTTTTAGCTTTCACCTCAGAGGTCAAAGTGTACATATGTGTGTGTGTGTGTGTGTGTGCATCTCCCTCTATGAGAAAATGCACGGTCTACAGACAGAACTTTGTCTTGCTTGCTGCTGTGTTCCCAGTGCCCACGGGTAGACCTGACATTCAGTAATCGTTATTCAATGAATAAATGAGTGGAGTCTTATCTTCCTGAAAGAGGAATTGACTTTTAATTCATCAAGTATGGTAAATTCATATTTTGGGCTTTGCTTCTTTCTTAAAGCTGGCTTAATAGTTATAGCTAAAATAGAAATTTTCCTTAACAGTCTGTGCTTTAGTGTAACTCTGATATTTTTAGTTTTGGATACTTTGTATTACATATATAAAGAAAAGATTATGGTAATTTTGTTAAAATATAACTTATTTCTGTCAAGGAAAACATTTCTATAAAAATTAATAGAGATTAATTTTCTGTAACAGCATTTGAAATGTCTCTTTAAAGATTTCCTGAGATTATTTTAGAATACTGTTATTTACAAAAACATTAACCTTATTTAAGATTATCTTTTATTTTAAAACTTCATGATTTTTTATTTGCACTGAAACAGCAACGAAGAACTAAGGCAAATAGATATAGAATATAAATTTGCTCATCATCCTTCTAGCAAAGGATTAAGTCATTTCATTTAAGTTCACTAAAGTTTCAAACAACATTTAAGCATCCATACTATGAAAAGCAATATATTAGATGCCAGGTGTCTTGCTTTTAAAAATTATTTAATCTAGTAACTACATGGACTACAATTTAAGCTTTCTTTGATGATAGATACCAAAGGAATTCCGGTATCCAGCCTCATCAGTACATGTTATCATAATTTAAAATTATTATTGTATCGGAAAAGCTTAAAACTGCCTGTCAATAAAGTCCTCTTGTGGGTAGAGCTGTGAAGGATACTGTACAGCAAACGGAATCACCTCTGGCTAAGGAGGAAGTATGTTACCTTCTCTTAGGCGCAGGTTAGTTTTAGAAATTTACTTCATTTGCTTCTTCAGCATCTTCAAATAGTCATCCCCTCGGTCTTATGAGTAGCTCTGTGGGAGGTCTAAGGTGAACCCTTGCTAAGTCATCCTGTGGTCCATAGACCAGCACTGCAGCATATCGGAGCTTGTTGGAAATGTAGAATCATGAGCCTCTCTACAGATTAACTGAATCTGAATCTGCATTTTCACAAGAGCCCAAGCGATGTGTATACCCACTGAAGTTGGAGAAGCACTCAGGTAAATAGACCTCCCCTCCCCTTTCTTACCTTGGATTCCTTTTAGTGGAAGAAGGTAAGCAGTATAAATGCATTGGATGTGTGCCTGCTTTTGTGTGTGCACGTGCGTGTGGAGAAATAAAACCGTATTTAATGTAAAAGCCTCACTTTTCCCCACAAGGGTACCTACTGAACGCCATATAATACCATTAATTGCCTCCAGTATAAGTTGATGTTTCTGGCTATGCCAACATCTAAAGTACCTAGTCCCTTGGCCATGATATTGTTTTCCCCTCCTGGAAGCAAATTAACAATTCATAAAAGATCCTGACTACCTTCTGTAAAAAAAGGAAGAGTTTGTAAAACAAAGTGGCATTTTCAAGGCAGTCACTGTACTGTAATGACAGATATCTTACAGATATCCACTATATGCTGGGCACTGTGCTAATTGCTGGAGGCATAATCTCAGTTATACGGGGACCCTGCCTTCAAAGGAACCAACAGCCTACTAGAAGTGATAGAATAAAATGGTGCATGCAGGCACTTGCAGTCAGGAGGTCTGCACTAGGCCCCTACCATCCACTTCCTAGCTGTGTATCCTTAGGCTAGTCACCCAGCTTCTCTGAGCCTCAATATTGTCAACTATACAATGAGATTGATAAAGTGTCTTTCTCACAATGTAGTTATGAGAATAAAATGAGATAATGCATGTGAAGCAGTTGGTGTACTTCATGGCATCTAATAAGCATTCAGCACATCTTACATAAGTAACATTTATTTACATAAAGTCAAGTATAATTTGAGAAACACTGTAATAGAAGTATGCATGAGATTCTCTGGCAATCTCACAAAGAGGAGCCCTAAGTTAGAAAGGAAGGTCGTGGAGGGCTACCCAGATGATATGATTTTTGAGGTGGATTTTGAAGGATTAGTCAAGTCTATCAGGCAGAAAAAAAGCTCAAGTACCCAAGTCAAGAGGTATGAAAGTTTTTATCTGGGCAGTAGCGGGTAGTGTAATGGGATCAGAATGTAAAGGAATGGGATGTAGAAGGAATAACTCAGAAGTGTTAGCTGAGGCCGTGTCATGGAGGGTTATATATTGGTTTCTGGGCTGTTTGAATTGTGACAAAGCAGTGGAGGACTACTGAAGATTTTTTAGGCAGGGCCACTTGATATGCAGAAGTGGGATGGAAAAGAAGGAATTTGTGGTAGGGACTCTTGACAGGTCTCCCTCTTTGCCCCCTTTCTCCTAAACTCCACATCCTAATCGCTAGCTGCCTGTCATGTCCAAATCTTACCATTTTCAAAACCAAGATCCTTCCCCCCCTTCCAGTCTGTTCCTCTGCCTGTATTCCCTATCCTGAAGAGATCAGCAGCGTCGCCATTCACGGAGGTCTTCAAGCTGAAAATCAGGGATCATCCCTGAATCCTCATTTTCTAGTAGCTCCTTCTTCCTCCATCTCCCTGGCCCCTTCCCTTTTCCCTGTCCCTTCCCACCTTCTCCCCACCAACATGGTACTTTTCTGCCTCTTAAATCCTGAACCTGTCCTTTCTTCTCACTCATCACTGTTACAGCCCCAACACAGCCCTCTTCTTTATCCTCCTCTATTCCCGCCAGAAAATCTTCTTGAAACAGATTGGGGCCTTATTAGCCCCCTAGAGCTTTCAGGTCACTACCTACTACATACCTTGGATCACGGATTACACCCTTCACACACATTTCCAGTTTTATTTGTAAATCCCACCAAAAGGTCCTTTTGTCATCTCATTGTTACTTGATAAATTAACCTTTGGTGTGGAAACAACTAGACTAAGCACATTTAGTTTTATCGAGTGGAGTTGCAGAGACTTCTTGTTAGGACCTTAGCTTAGAAGATTCCTTTCTGATGACATCGTCACCATCCTTTAGTCGTAATTACATGAACCAGCTGAACAGAAGAAGTAGTTTCAAATGTGCTGGTGTCTCCTGACTGGGAACTGCTTCCACTAAATTGAGTCACTAGCCAAAGATTAAAAGGATGCACTTGGGAGCCACATTGAGCTCTCGAACCACACTGTCATTTCCCAGACTTTGGATGTAGTTTTTACATTTGGAAAGAGATTTCAAAAACAGTGACAGAATCCTGCAGTTTCTCCTCTAGTTGTTCTAGAACAGCTGATACGGTGAAGCATATTTGGCTGGTTTCCCAGATCAGAGCCCGTATTCCTCGGAGTTAAATAATAACTTTAAATTGTAATGTAGTTTATTTACTCAGCCACTAGACTGTTGGTCTTCATAGCTGAGCTGTCTGGTATCTTGTGAGTATTCTGTTGAAGAAAACATGCTGTGAGTGTAGAAAGGGACTAGATAAGTTATTTCGGGGCAGACAGAGTTCATCTACTTTTTAAGGGAACTCAAACTATCGAATATTTTTACAGCTGTTTCAAAAACATCTATTCAATTTACTGATTACAAACTCCCTTCTGAAAATCGCATGGGAGCTCAACACCTACAGATACACCTGTGGAAAAGATAAAAGGACACTTGAACATTTTTTTGCATTTTGTAATTTCCTGTTCTTCATTTTCTCCACTGTTAAGATTCAACATTTCCCTAAAAAAAAGTGTTTTTTGTTTTAATTTTCTACTGGAAGTAACTTTCAAGTATGATTAATCCTATAAATGCATGAATGAGGAAAAGACCAGTTATATGTATGTAATTAAAATATCAAAGGCCTGGTGTTTATACATTTATTTGGTATTTGTATCATAATGAAAAATAAATTTAGCATGATAAAATAATATAAATAGGGAAATTACTCATTCAAAAATGGCCTTGATTAGGCAAATCCATATGCTTATATGGGTTTTTAAAGATCATAGCAGTCCTTTCTGTGAAAAAGTCTTTAAGAAAGTATATTTAAAAATAGAACAGAAATGGAGTTGAAGTTTTAAGTTATAACATTCACGCACAGGCACAAGGCAGTCTATATTTATACTCTCGAAAGAGCTTGGGAATTGTCACTTCACGATGATTTGGCTTTAGTGTTTTTCACCAGAAATCTAATGCTTGTAGATAATTTCTCAATGAACAGTTACTTTCATTTTAAATTGAAAAATAATCTTCCTTCATCAGGCAGGAGAAAATGATAGGATGATTCATAAAGAAAGAAATGTTGATTTTTGTCTTTCAGACCTGAAGATTATCGCCTCTAGGAGAATGAAAATTGCTGGAAAGAGCAATGAGGTGACTGAAGCTTCTTCCCGAAGAGTCTCCCGAGCTACAGGCCGAGTGAGGCAGCTGCTGCGTTTTGACAAGAAACTTGTCATGGGCACCGAAAGCTTGTGGAGAAAGATCAGGAGGGGCTAATCCTTCGATAGATACGTTATTTTATAGAATTTTTTTATTATGTAGTCCAGTTTGGATGTTGTACATGATGATAAGAATAAAATTGCTTAGTTGTTTAACTGTTCAATTTTTCATTTAACAAAAACACAAACCCTAGTGTTGTACCTAGGTACAAACCTAGGTGCAGATAAAGTTGCCGACAAGTGCCCGTCGGTGCAGATTCCCTCAAGTTCCGCCATCACTGTTCTGCCCCCCACCCCCCGCCCTGGAGAAAACAAGGCCCACTTTCACTTTTCCTTTCAGTGATTATTTTAGCTAACCTCCCAGCTCAGAAGGGTAAGGTTTGCGCTGAGGTATTTACAAAGCGCAATCATCTTTTTCCCATATAGCTCTTGGTTTCCATGACCCCAAAATAAACTATTGCCTGTCTGCTCCCTGGAAATCTCACTGCCCTGCCTGTGCTACCATGTTCAGACCCCTGCACGGTGTCTCCGGATCTTCTCCTGTTGGCTCCTATTCACCTCTGTGCAGGGCACTTAGACTGGACTGCTGAGATAAATATCCCTAGCAGAATCTCTTGAGAAATTAAGACGTGGAGCCATTGTATTTGGGCATTTTTGTGGGAGTTTGATTTTTTTGCTTTTTTTCTTCTCTTGTCCTGGCCAGTCGAGGAGTGAATTTCAGACCACCTTTCCCATTCACTCAGCAAACAGGTATTTGCCGGGCACAGTGCTAGGTGTTGGGAAAATAGAAATCACACGTGTCTTGCCCCAGCTAAGAGCATATACAGTCTACCGGAAAGGAGCTGTAGATCGACTTGTAAATAAGTGCCCTTGGGTGTCAGAGGTGCAGACATTAACTCTGTATGAGCTGTGATGTTAGTAAGTGTGTGTAAGTAAGAGGAAAACAGTAACTAAAATTAAAGAGGAAGTATTGCTAGTAAGCATCTGCCAACTTGCCAAACACAACAGCTTTATATAAGTGTATGTAATCCATGCAGCAACCCTATAATGTACATAATGTAACCCACCCCATTTAAAAACAGAAAAGCTGAAGTAGCAACAAGTTAGGTAACTTGGCCAAGGTCACAGAAGTGAACTGCTGAGTGGTCATCAGGATTTGAGTCCAGGCCGTCTGGTTCAAAAGCCCATGGACTTAGCCACTGCTCGCTGAGAAAAAGTGTTTATGTTTCTGTATCACAAATTCTGTAATAAAGCAAGCATAACCTGGTCCAGGTCAACAGCTACTATTTGCAAGGAAGTGGCAGTTCTATTTTAAACCGTTGGACCAAAAAAGAAGCTCCCCCCTCCCTTCCCTGTGATGTGGTAACCGTAGGTGTGAGTCAATATGAAATAAGCCTCCAGCTCCTGATGCAGTAGCTTTAATAGAGAGGAAATTAGTCTGGTGTAGCCCAAACACCTAAAACAATGCCCGGCAGGTATTTCTTGATTGAGAAAGGCTCACTAAAGAAAGCCTTGGTTTCTAACTGCAGGATTTGAGGAGGTGAGAGCAGAGCAACATGCTCTACAGTAACATTGAGCCCAGTCCTCATCATATTCAGTAAGAATATGGGCACCGATCACCATAAACCCCGCTCTCACTTGCTGTGGGAGAGCCCCCTTGGTGGGGGAGGGGCCGCCTGACCCTGTAGAACCATCTAGACCTAAACAAAGGCTATATTGGTGGACTGAGTCGCCCCTCCTTACCATTAGGTGCTGACTCCATTTTGCATACGGAGAAAACCAGAGCAGGGAGGCTTTTGCACTCCGTAAATGGCCTCCCGAAGCAGACTCTATTACAGACCTTCCTGCCCTTTTGCCATTGCTCGAGAGTTTAACAGCCTGACCTGTACGTATCGTAAGAGAGCACCACCACAGGTAGCCAAGTGGAAATCACCACTCGCTGTAGGGGACCCAGAAACCTCAGGGAGGAAGACAAGACCGACCACTGGAATCGTGGCTCCTACTGAAGTCATCACTGAAATGAGGAGAAGAAACAAAAGAGAACTTTTGTTTTCTTACAGAAAAAGAAGGAAACCGTAATTATTTCAAGAGTCCTATGGGAAGGAAAAGAAAGCTGATATATATAGATATAGATAGATAAATATATATATAATGGCTATGTGTAATGTGAAATTGGTGCAGATAAATAGGAATCAAATCACTAAACCAAATTTGTATTGGTTCATACGCGGTTTTGCACTATTCACTAACACCAGGTAAATGTGAAAAACACCATCCAGCTGCGCATAATGACCGGTGGTAGAATAATACAAAACACCTCTCTCAGTTTTCCGCAAGGGCATCGCCTACTGTATTCTCTCAGGAAAACACAGGGTGGTGTCCTGATCATAAGTGGCAAAGGAAAAGCCTTAGGCATTGCAAAGCTCTGAAACGAGAGTGCTCTGTTGCTGTCGGCGGTCGACCTTAAGCACACTCATGAACACAGGAGGCAACACTGAAAACAAACGAGGCAAGAGCGTAATCTTAACTTCCCAAGAATCACCTGTTTTCCAGGCAGCTGAAGCCTGACAAGCACTCATTTGCTGGGGGTTGACGGTAACCCCAAATCTGATGCAGCACGAGAGCACTCTGTCATCTCCTCATTGGGGACACGCAAACAGCTTCTTTATGAGAGGTGGGAACTAACAAAACCAGAAAAGTCAGATTTCTGTTTGAAGCTAATGCAGAGGAACGAAAACCAGGACAAGGACCAGGACCACAGCCATCTACCTCCGGTATCCCATTTCATTCGAAAAACTTGAATCTTCCTTTTACCTGTTTTCCATAGTTCAAAAGCCACAACCCCACACTATAAACACCTCCACTAAGCCAACGTCATGTCTTGTCAAAACATTCTATATTTACTATCATGTTTCTTAGGAACTTATGTTTAAAATTATGATAGTTTTCTTGTATCACAAGACGGTACAAGGTCTGAGCTTCCTGCCCAACTCCCCTTTTCCCATAATCCCTGTTATTTTGGGAGTGCAAAATTCTGCCATCCAGGGATTATTTTTTTAGGAATGCATATGCCATGTTATAGGGCAGACGGCTCTACTCACTGTAATCGCTGGTTTGGCACCTCCTTCTGTCAGGCTGACTCTTGTGGGGCCCTAAGAGTTCACCTTCCCCCAACCCCAGCAGAAGTTGGCCACATGGGAGATACCGTGCTGAAGTCCGGTGCCATCTCCTTGTGAAGTCTGAACCCGAGTTGGGAGCACCTCCCTGGAAGGCCTCCTTCGTAGGCGCGGTGGCCTGCCCTTCTCTGCAGGCGGGGCCATCCCCAGGCTTCCATCAGCACCTCGCAGGTGGGCCAACTCAAAGCTAGGTTCTACAGCGGGCCTTTTAAAGGCATCGTTGCCCAGAATGCAATCCTTTTCTTGCCTGTCCTAATTCCTACTCCAAATTTACAAAGCAAATACAAAGAACTAGGACCAGTGAGACTGATAATGTCCCTTGGTGTGGACAGACCCGGCCACGTGCTGACCCAGAGGCGAGGATTGTGCTAATGAAGCAATGTTGCCATCTTTAAAAGTGATTGCAAAGCAGAATTTTGTTTTAATTGTAAGGTTTAATTTAGATGAAGGAGGTTTAAAAAAACATGCAAACGGCCATGATCAGATTCCCACCATAGTTCCTCCTCTGTTGCGAATTCCCTGCTAGGTGCACCCAGACACTGTCACTGTGCTTGTGACCCCATCTTTTTTTTTTTTTTTTTTTTGCTGCATAATTTGTTTTCTGACCTTCTTTCCTGTTGAAGGGGCTTAGTACCACATGTAGCAAGAACAACACTAACTGTCCACTGTTCTTCCTGGCTGAAAACTTCCCGGTGGAACAGGGAGCAAGTTCTGAATCTGCAAAGCCTTCGAGCCCCAGGAGGGGTTCTGCTGCCAAGCTCCACAGTGCTGAGTTTGAATTGGATAAAACCCTATTTAAGAAGGTATGATCTTTCCAAGACCGACACGAAGGCTACATTTCAACTTAAATACAGGCTCTTACAGAGAAATGGTATCTCCCTCTCTGCCCAAAAATCTGAAATAAGAGAGTTGAATAGTTTTGCAGCATCTCGACCGCTCAGGGCTTCACCTTAGAAGAATGTAAATCTGAGATCAGCTACTGGTAAAACAGATGGGTGCCCCACACGCGCCCCAACTTCTAGTAGGCTGGCCGCCAAGGTTTAGGATACGTTTTCCACACGAAGGCAGCATAAACAGGACCTCAGAAGGAGACACGGGTTTGTATCTGTGCCATTTGGTCCACGAGAAACCCTTTGATTTCAAACAGATCTTTATTTCAAGGCTTAACTTTGCTTTCACTGCCCTCACTTCTCAAGTCCAAAGGTAATACTCATTAAAGCCTTGCAAACAGAGGCCCCTAGAAGACCCTACTGTTTCAAGCGTGACACCTGCGCTTTATAGGGTGCTCTGGTGGGACTCCAGCTCATCAGCCTATATTAAATCGTTCAGAATCACCACTCCGAAGTGATGATGCCATCCGACGTCTTTTGCAATCACAAAACTCAAAGGGGTCTTGGTATTTAGAGAAAATTTTGAGTATAATATAAGCAACTGTCTTTGACTTTTTGGCAAATTCACAAAATCCAAATAAAATATTTTCACAACTTGTGTGAGAAAAATATTGCCAGTTATTTCATTATTACGCACCGTTACCAGCACTGTGTATAGGTGGAGTCAGTAAGTCATGAGAAATGTGAGTATGTGTACCCTTCAGAAAACTGGACCCCGAAGTCTAAACCTTGGAAGCGGTGATTCATCAGCCGGCTCTCCAGTCTATATTAACAAAGGATCAGCTGCTGTGTTTCATTCAGCCATTCAACCAATGTTTATGTTCCGGAAACTGTTCTAGGTGCTTGAAATAGATACGGGAATAAGTTTCCTGCTATCATGGTGTGCTACTGTGATTTATAATAAGAAATGTATATATTTGGTCTTCATCCTGTTTCTGGCACAGAGCTAAAACTCTTGGAATTTCCTAACTGGTGAGAGTGGTAAAGATGTATTTTGTTATATTAACGAGATGACTTTGGGGTCGCACCTAAGGATGGGGACTGGTTGCCAGAACCAGCCACAGAGTAGAGGATTGGAACCTTCAGTCCC